TGAGGGATAAATACCCCTCTCTGTGTCCCTCCCTTCTCTCATGTGGGGCTCCCCATCGGCTGAACACAACCAGAAGCCATAGGGCAAGCGGCCTGGAGTTGTATCCTTACCAGACAGGATCCCGGGCCAAGTAGAAGGGGGAGCAGGGAGCTGGGTCTGAAGAAGCAGATGTTAGAGACCTGGCAATGGGACTATGCATCTGTAATTTGAACAGAAACTGTCATGCCAGCCACCCTTGGGGCTGTACTATTTACATAACCGCCTGTAATGTACAAGAATTTTGGTTTCCCTACTATCTATTCTTAGAGGTATATCATCAACTCTTGGATTTTTCTCAAACTCATAAATGAAAACTTGTCTTTCACATTAATATTAATTTGTATTTCTCTTACTCTAAGTGTGATTGAACATCTTCATCTTTTCAAAGGTTTAACAGCAATTTGTATTTCCTTTCTGTTAATCGTGGCTTTGGCAATTTTTTCCACTGAGCTGTTGCTATTTTCTTACTGGTTTCAGGAGCTTTCTTTAAGTAGAAGGGAAACTGTGATATGAGTCACATCTTTTTCTTCTCTCCCCAGTTTGTCACTTGCCCTTTGAGTGGCTTGTGCTGTTTAAAAAAAACCAATCCCACTCCGCCAAAAAACAGCCAGAAGTTTTTGTTTCATGTTTTCAGATATAAAGGTATTTTCTTTCTTAGCTTCTAAATGTTGAGGTACAGTCAGAAAGTCTTCCCTACTCCAAGGTGAGAAAGGAATTCTTCAAGAATTTTAAGGAGCTCCAGTAGATTTTGTTCCTTCTCTCTCAAATATGTTGTCCCCATCCCCTTTACTAAGACCTATAGGTTGTTGGGATTCTTCTGTCTCCCAAACACTGGGGAAATATCATCAAAATGAAGAAAGGACCAGGAAATCGCAGACTTGTCATGGCTTGTGGTGACTGTCTGTGGCTGATGCCACTTTACCGTGGCAGTTTAGGTCAAGAAAAACAGATTTATCAGAGGAAGTAAGAAAATACATTGGAAGGGAGCAACGGGCAGGTCAGCAAGAGAGGAGCTGACTGTCAGGAGACAAAGGCTTGCTGGGGATTTTATAAAATGCAACTTGGGCTGAAGAACGCCACGTGCAGGGCTGACAACGCCAGTGGCAGGGAGCTAACTTGCATTCTTCTGTCAGCCGAGACGTTGGATAAGTTGAAGCATTCGATGATAAGCAGGAAGATCGTGAGTTACGTATGTTATCTGTGCAGGTGGGCCACATGTCCTGGGCCATAAAGAAAGGTTGACCTATAGCTTTATCTCTTTGCTTTCCCCTAGTCCCCCCAGCCTGACTCCTCTTCCCTAATCAGGACTCCACAAAACCAAGTTCCAGCTACAAACAATGTAATGTTAAAGTCTTCTTTGCTGCCACAGTAGCAGGTCCAATCCGGGGTATTCTCTTAGAGAAATCCAAGCAATTTCAAGTCAAAATTTCCAGCTTTGCTGCAGACTCCACCACCCATGAGATATCCAAGCATGACTGCCTAGAACTAATCCCATAATACTGCACCCATTGAGAAACATCCGCTGAGATACTCTGATGTGTGTTGTCACTCCACAGCAGAGGGTCGGCCTAGCTGTGAGCATTCCCCTAGATATCAGCACACCCAGACTCTAGAAGAGCAACTTTCTAATTTAATTTTTTGAGACAGGGCCTCACTCTGTCACCCAGGCTGGAGTGCAGTGGTGCTATCTCGGCTTACTGAAACCTCTGCCCACCGCAGCCTCCCGAGTAGCTGGGACTATAGGCATGTGCCACTATATCGGGCTAATTTTTGTATTTTTTTAAGAGATGGGGTTTTGCTATGCTGTCCAGGCTGGTCTTGAACTCCTGGGCTCAAGTGATCCTCCTGCTTCAGCCCCTCAAAGTCCTTGGATTGCACGTGTGAGCCACCGTGCCCGACCAGGGCAACTCCTTTATACTTTAACACCTAACCTGACCTCTGACCTGTGGCCTCTGTCTCCAGTGGTGGCACATCTTCATCTTTGTTATATATCTGCAGGAACACTCAGTCTCTTCAGTAGCTGAGCAAACACACACACACACATACACACTCTTTCTCTCTCTCTCTCACACTCTTAGATGACCCACTCCCACTTTCCCTGGTGACTCATACTTCACTTGGAACCACATGCCTGATTATTAGATTCTTCTTGCTGGGAAAATATAATATCCCATCTTGGCATCCTGCCTGAATTGTTAATGGAGCTCCTTAAAGCTCTTCCTGACTACAAACAGATCAATCTTCCTAAAGCATGGCTCCTGTCAACAGGGCTGGTCTCAGTCCCCCAGGGCC